GGCGCTCTCCGGACCCCGCGCCCGTCCCCTTCCCGTTCACTTCCGAAGGCACCGGCAAGGACAGGGCACCTCGACCCCGGGCCCCGTCCCGCACGGCGGGGACGCAACCGGCGGCAGTGACCACGGGAACCGTGCGCAGGAGCCGCACGGCTGCAGTGTTAGTGGGCAGCGCTTTAGGGAGGCGGCGGGGGGCAAAGTACTGGGGAGACACATCCTGGCGCGGTACCGCAGAGCGGTGACCGCCAGAGGCGATCAGCCCGTCCCCTCATCCACACGCACAAGTTAAGCAGAAGAACGGAGCGGGAGGGGAAGGCACCGGAGATTTTGTGACTCGGGTTCGCGCCGCGTGTGTGTTTCTTTGGCAAAACTCCCGGCGCCGGCAGCCTCTGCCGTGCCCTTAACCCAGCTGCCGGCCCCAGAGCCAGCCTTTCCGGCTTGGCTCTTTCTCAGGCGGGTCCGTTTCCCACCCCAATCCCAACCCGTACTCCCGGTCGGAGCACCACGATGGAGGCCAGTAGCAGGGACCTGACCCGCCGCTGCTGCTCCCAGGAGCAGCACAGCCCCACAGCGTCCCTGCCACACCACGAAGCCCTCTCAGCACCATGTCCCTCATGAGCACTATGTCCTTCAACTCCCGGGGTGTTCCCTCCTGTACCTGCCTCACTGGCATGGCCGAGCCCTCATCTCCTTCTTCGTCACTTCTCTGGATGCTGGTAGCATCCCCAAAGCACTGGATAAGACCAGTGCGTGTCTACGTGAGCAGGGAAAGAGAGTTCGCCCTCTGGTCTGCACTTAGCCAGGTCCTGGGAGCTGCTGGAGGCAGAGGAGCTGGGCCGCAGCGCTGGCGAGGCCCCATGTCCCGCTTCGGGTGGGCTGGCTGGCTCAGCACGGCCCCACGCCGGCACCGCTCCCCCTCGCAGCACAGCCACAACGGTCCAAGCCCCCAGAACATGCTCTGGGGCCGACCATGGAGAAAGACCCTCTGCTCCCCATGCCTCGCAGATCTGCAAACCCCATGGACCAGTCTCAAAGGATGAAGGAGCAAAAACCGGGAGGGGAAGGAGGCCGACAGGAGTGGGCCTGCTTGTGGTCACCCATCAAGCTAGCGCTAGGAAGAGTCAAGGAGTTTAAAATATTAGGGAGACGCATCCTGATATATATATCCACTGCATGGAGCAGGGCCCTCTTGTTTGGTTACAGGGTGTCCCCACTGTCTGGATTTATTAAACCGTTGTTGACTGCAAGGTCTAAGGCCCCAGTCCAAACACTACAGTCTGGGGACAGTGACTGTGGACTGTAAATGAATATCCTTTGAGAGTTCCCAGAAGAGCAGAATGAGTTTAAATTATATGTCAATGGAATGCTTTTATTCAAGCAGAGTATTAACTGACTACAGCACCATTACCAGCACAGGGGAAAAAATTCGATACAGACAGCAGAGCAGATGTGGAGCACCTTCAAAACTACAATCTTATTGTCCCTAGACTACCTGGAAGACAATTAATTCAACAGGCTGGCCTTTTAAACGTGGGTGTTGTATGGGCACGACCCGCTTTGTGTGGACAGAGTCGCTGCTGAGGCTTATTATCTTCCTGTTCCAAGTTCTCCGTTGTCAAGGACTGAAGTGTAAAGCAAAGTTTCTGAGCCAAAGATCAACCCACATACATTGTTCCCAAACCTAATGTTTAAAATGAAAAGTTGGTTTCACATAAGCAGAAAACAAAACAAAATTAATATATTAGTATTAATGCTGATCCTTTACTTTGGTCTCCTGTAACTGAAGCCTGGATGTTTAGAGTCTTTTCAGTTCCTGAAGGACATTAACCTACAGCATCAAACAACTGCTTTGGCAAGACTGGGGATTCAGCACATAGAGAGACTGATACGTTACACACTTTAGTCCCTCTCTAGCCCCCTACTTCCCTATCCACAAAAATTTGTTTAATATTATCGTGCAAGTGTAGGCACAATGACTGCAAAATGGTTACAGACTGCAGTATCCATAAGCAATGCACCTGATAAGCATCCTCAAGAACATCTTCAGAACAATATTTGGCTCATTAAGCATTTATTAAGAATTTATCATCAAGTTTGTAATGTGAATCAAGCCCTTTAGGGGCTGAATAACTGCACACCAAGTGCCAGATAGCCCATAAAAGCTGCTCTGTCAACAAGGATGGGGGGCCGGCTTCCTTCTAAAACTCTCCTCCCAGTAGCAGGTTCCACCATGACCTCTGAGCAGAACGGCTGCTCTGGCGACACAGTTGAAGCTGCCTAAGCAGGCTTTGGCACACCGAGTCATAATGCTCCTCCACAAGCCATCACAAGTCTAGCAT